GCCTCAATCCATGCTGAAGGCTGCAGTCCTTGACCCTCTGCAGCAAGCGCTTCAGGTCCTCCTCAGTTTCAGCAAGCAGGGTTGTGTGATCTGCATAACGCAGATTGTTAATAGATCTTCCACCAATGCTGATGCCAAACTTCTCCTCATAGAGCCCAGCCTCTTGGATAATCTGTTCTGCATACAGATTGAAAAGGTATGGAAATAGGACACATTCCGGGCATACACCTTTCCCAATTTTGAACCATGTGGTGTTTCCCTGCTCTGTTCTGATGACTGCCTCTTGGTCCAAGTATAAGCTTCACATTAGAACGATCAAGTGTTCTGGGAGTCCCATTCTTCTCAGAGTCATCCTCAGTTTGTTATGATCCACACAGTCAAACGTCTTTGCATAATCAATGAAAACCATTTATAATAGTCAACCACAAATTGAGACACTTGGCAGTGTACGTAACTAGAGATACAAGAGACCTATTCAAAGAATACTATAGATTACTTCTGAAAGACACAATAAAAGACCTGAAGAAATGGAAAAATTTGCCCTGTTCATGGACAGGAAGACTCAATATGGTGAAAATGACAATCTTACCAAAAGCAATCTACATGTTCAATGAAATCCCAATCCAGGTACCAAATTCATTTTTCAAGGAGATTAAAAGGGACATTATCAAATTTATTTGGAAAGATAAGAGACTCCAAATAAGCAAAACACTTCTGAGAGAAAAAAATGAGGTTGGAGACATAGTACTCCCTGACCTCAAAACGTACTCTTCAGCAATGGTATCCAAAACAGCATGGTTCTGGTATAATGACAGGCACATCGACCAATGGAACAGAATTGAGAACCCAGAAATAGACACAGCTATCTATAGCCAACTAATATTCTACAAGGAAATCAAAGCTATCAAATGGGAAAGGATAAACCTCTTCAAGAAATGGTGCTGGCAAAATGGGACTTCCACCTGTAGAAATCTGAAACAGGATCCACATATCACACAAACATCAACTCAAGGTGGATCAGAGACCTGGGGGTAGAGCCCCAAACCATAACATTCTTAAGAGAGGAACATGGATCAAGCTTAGAAGCGCTAGTCCAAGGCATAAGAAACCTGCCAAATACAACTAGCAATGCACAATCTAAAGAGTATAAAATTGATGCATGGGACCTTCTGAAAATTAAATCTCTATGCACATCAAAAACTTTTTCCAACAGGGTGAAAAGAAAACCTTCAGACTGGGAACAAACATTTGGTGATACCATTTTAGAAAGGAGTCTTACAACAAAAGTTTACAGAATACTCCTGGGCCTCCACAAAATGGACAAAAGACATGGAAAGAATTTTCACAGAAGACTATATTCGAATGGCAAACAGACCCATGAAGAAATGCTCCATATCACTGGAAATAAGAGAGATACAAATCAAAACCACAATGAGGTACCATCTCACTCAATTAAGAGTGGCAAAGTTTAATAGGGCAGCAACTAATAAATGTTGGAGATTATGTGGTGAGAAAGGAACTCTTTTACATTGTTGGTGGGATTGTAAAATGATGCAACCATTCTGGAAAGCAGTTTGGCACTTCCGCAAAAAGGTGAACATAGAAATGACATATGGCCAAACTATTCCACTACGTGGAATATGTTGTTGTTGTTGTTATGTGCCGTCTAGTTGTTTGCAACTCATAGCAACCCTATGCACAACAGCCCTAAACCCTGCTCTATCCTGCGCCAACCACACTGCCTCTGACACACCAATCCCAATTACACCAGTCACCGAATCAATCCATCTCATAGAGGGTCT